GTCATGCCACATAATGCTGTTTAACACTTGTTAATAYAGATTTTTAAATTTTTGACTCAAGTTCATTAACCAATGCTAAAATAAAATTATTTTAAAAACAAATTAAGACTGTTGATATTTTTTGAATACAGTCACAAATATCCCGATAACTCTCTTGGAAATAATGGAAAATTACATATGAAAATACATATCTCTAAAATTCTGGAAAGATAGCGTCTAAGGGGTATAACATTTTTATGTTTGATTAGGCTTCTAATTATATTACTAGATAAGATAATCATATATAATAACATATGCTCTTAAATATAAGTTTATAAGTATATAATACTATGAAGCATAAAGTATAAAAATAACATGTTAGTTTTTATAATGATTACTGGGAAACTCCAGGTGTTCAAAACAATCTAAATGTGTCTTTTGATGGGAAATAGTAATAAATAGGGGGATAATATTCAAGAATACAATCTTATTATATCTAGAGTGAATATAAGATATTTCTCTGACTTGAGATATACTCACTTGGAAATGACAACACTAACTCAATTATGTATATAGTCTCTATGTGTATATGCTCCCAGAATAGTATTTAAATACTTATGAACAATTTGAAATTGATATTTTATCAATTGATTATTTTGAAGTTCTGATTTTGATTTGGATTAAAAAATAACCCATATATATCTTACATGGACTGACTTTCAATTGCTAAATTGTCCTATGTACATTTTATCTAGTAAAATATTTTTAAAAGTATAACTAGCAAACCTTCAGCTAGTTGAAGAAAAAAGAAAAAGAGAGAGAAAGAAAGAGAGGACTGGAATAAATTAGGTTTTCCAATTTGTTGCCATAAAAACAGACACAATAAAACAAGGGAACAGAACAAAGAGCCCAGAAATCCAGAAGTACATGCATTATGGATAACTGATTTTGGATCAAAATGTCACAAAAATAATGTGGGGAAAGGACACTGTCTTCAATAAGTAAGAAGAGTTGTGTCCAAAGAGATGAAAGATAATAAGTGCTGGTGAAAATACGAAAAGGAAACACATGTTGTTGTGAGAATATAAATTACTGTAGCCATTATGGAAAACAATATGAAGTTTCCTTAGAAAATTGAAAAAATAGAACTATCATATGACCCAGCAACCCCACCACTGGGCATTTATCCAAATGAAATGAAATTATTATATCAAAGAAACATCTGTATGCTCATGCTCATTAAAGCATTACTCACAATAGCCARTATTTGGAATCAACCTAAATGTCTATCCACGGGCAAATGGTGTTAACCATGGATTTTGTCTGGAATGAAAGTTACCTAGAAAATTGGTAAACAATACTTCTGGGTGTATCTGTTAGGGATTTTCCAGGAACAATTAGTCTGTGGGTCAGGAAACTGAGTCAGAAAGTTCTACCCTGAATGTTGGTGGAACCACTAAATAGGCTGAAGGCACAGATGGGACAAAAAGTAGAAGAAAGGGAAGGCTCTTTCTACATACTCATGCTTGATTTTTCTTCATCAGGTTTTTTTTTTTTTTTTCTAAAATTACCTGAGGACATAATGTATTGGCACCCCTTCTTTCACAGACAATCTTAGTTAAACTGTTCCAGAAATCCACACCATAATTCATCATAGGACCATCAGAAAAGAACCTCTACAAAAGAGTTCAATGTGGTTAGGCTTCCTATTTCCTGCTGCTCTRTTTACTTGGCCAATGGTCAAGTGCTGAAMACCCCTTAACTAGTTTTTCACAACATTTATGGACTGTCTAGTATTGTGACTATATATAATAGTTTGTAAAAGTTTTCAAGCAGGAACTGTCTTTGCAAAGGCAAAGTGTGATAAGAAAGACAGATTCTTTAAGAAGGCCCCTGACCTTGGCAAGCTTCACAGAGATGTTTACATTTCAAAGATAAGAAAAGATGTTACTAATCAGGCTCCCTGGTAACAGCTTACTAATTGGGCTCCTTGGTAACAGCTCACAGCAGGAGGGAAGAAAGAGGAGAAGAAGCTTTTTCCTTCTCAGGTGCGCTCCTGGAAGGGTTAACTTGCCCAGAACAGTGAAAGAAAAAGCTGCTTTTGTGTGAACTTCTGCAGATTGTGAACTTCTGAGTCTCTCCTCCTACACACTGGGTATAAAGTTCTGAAACTGCTTAAACTTGGAGTTCAGAGGGATTAATTGTTTACATAGAAAGCTTTTCCATCTGAACCTGGTTGCAACCATAAATAAACAATAAATCTTCTTCCTGCTGTCTTTGGTGTCTTGCCTCATCTGTCAGCCATAAGACTCCAGACTCTTTTTAAATATTGAATGTGGACTTGTACCATGGACTTTCTAGGGGGTTTCCAAACCTTCAGCCCTGGATTAGAGCTACATCATTAGCCCTTATTGTTCCGAGTATTCTATATTCTTGGACTGATCAGTTACCGGTTTCTTTGGCTCTTTTTCCTGGTCATAGCCATCATGGAACTATTCAGCCTCTTACCATGTAAGCCAATCTAATAAATCTCCTTTTATAATTTCATAAATATTCTATTTTTTCTGTTACTCTGGAGAACCCTGACTAATACTGATTTTTGTACCAGGAGTGTTGCTAGAGAAACAGTTATAAGGACAATTTTTCTTAATTGGTTTTGTAGGTTTTAGAATTGGTATTATGGGCCAGGCTATATGGGCAATGACCAGACTCCATTTTACCCTAAGACTCCATATCATGTAAGAACTGCTTCTCCCATAGCAAAGTTCCACCTCTGTACCATTAATAACTGCCTAACATAGTATACTTGGCAACACAAAATTCTTATACAATTTAAAATTGTTCTCTTTGGTTTCTGTTTTTCTTGGACAATGTACCTTGTCAGAGATTGTCTAGACATTAATACCCATTCTCCAACTTGTACTCAACTATGGTTATTTTGACCCACTTCCTTTCTGCTTGCTTGCTGCCAAGCCAACCCAGAAAGTCCCATGGGAAATACTAACATACCCACTGCATTGTCTCCCTATCTGCCCAATTCAGCTTCTGTACCTGCTTGCTTGCAGCTACATCAACCTGGATGTGGTTTTTGTAGGTTTTGCCTATAAATATCCTAAAACGCTCAGGCTCAGGGCTGTTCCTTGCAGAGAAATCATGGGTCCTGTGAGGGGCAGTCACCAGCTTGCCAGCTAAATAAAGACTCTTCAATTTGGACAAAACTGGGACTTGGAAGAGTAAGTAGATGAATAGGGAGAGGAAGAATGCTTGTTAAGCTGAGGCAGACAATGTAATCAGATTAGAACTAACAGAAACTGCCCCAGGACATTGGCTTTCTAATTTAACTAAATATAAAATGTCTAAGGAGTCTCCTTCTGATAGTATAAAGAGCACTGAAAGTCCATTGTGTGAACTCTTGAAAGAGACAGGCAAAGTAAATGCATTTGATGCTCATACTTCACTACTAATAAGATGAAAGGAATTTAGTGACTCTATATATAATAGTTTAGAATACTTTTGCTTCTAACATTGCTGAAAAAAGTAAAAAAGAAAAAAAAAAAACAAGAGATTCAAATTCAGAGATTCAAATTCTCAGCTCCAGTTATGCATAATAACCTCCAATCTTCTAAGTGTTCCCTGGAAAAGAATCCGATTTCCTATAGCCACAGCACTGAAATTGCTTAAATTAGCCAGTTATATGCCCTCCTCGTGTGATTGGCTAAATTACAATGCAAGTTTAACACCCCACCTTGCAACAAGGTACAGTTAGGTGAAGTCATTGACTAGGAAGGAATGGGGGATATTGTGACTTGGGATGGAGATGTGTGAGAGGACGCTGATGAGGCAGGGAATTCTAAATAAATTACAAAGAGTTTATTTTGCCACATGAAGTGGCTTTACTTCTTAAACTCCATGGCAGCAGCATCCCCTCCTTTACTCCGGTAGTACCCCTGCCCTCTCCTCCTCTTCCTGAAGGAGCTGACTCTGAATTGCCTTAGGAAACAGTAATGAGTTGCTTATTAATGGGATCATCAGATCCCTTAATCTTCCATGATTTTTCTCTCCTTTTTGAACTTTTTTTTTTTTTTTTTTTTTTTTTTTTTTTTTNGCGGGGGGTGGGTGGGTACTGGGGCTTGAACCCAAGGGTACTTTACCACTGAACCACATGCCCACATGCCCAGCCCTTTTCAGTTTTTTGCTTGTTTGTTTGTTTGTATAGATAGGGTCTCACTAAGTTGCTTAGGGCCTTGCTAAATTGCTGAAGCTATCCTTGAACAACTAATGCTCCTGTCTCAGCTTCCTGAGCCACTGACATTACAGGCCTGTACCACCTTTCCAATGTTTACTCTGACAAAATAGTACGTATTTTTCATACTTATTAAACTAAATAAGCATGGTTCCATGAAAATTCCTATGTTTATTTTATTATTTTTTGTTCTTAATAGTGCTAAGATTCGATCCCAAGGCCTCATGCTTGCTAGGCAAGCACTCTTTCACTAAACCACATCCCCTAGCTCTTTTAAAACAAATTAAAGGTTTTATAAAAATAAACTATAATTACTTCTGTGTACACACACGGATTTGAAATTAATGTGATTTGTTTTTAATTAATGTTGACCTTTCAATTTTATTCTGAGTAGATATAAGGCCTTATGATTAGATTTTGATTGGTGAACCCCATACTTAAGAACATTAATGTAACATCCCCCTGTTCCAAGTTTTAATATAGATTCTACATTAAAAATAAAAACAAATAGGCAAATAATCTAGAAATTTTTATTTTATTAGTCCATTTAAACTTAGCATTAACCTTTACTTAAAAAAACAAAAACAAAAACAAAAAAACAGTTTATTTTCCTATGTGAAAGTGGACAGTACTCAAATATGTGCATAACCAATAGAAGTTGTTCTGGGATGAGTCTTAGAACATATTAAATACATGCTGGATACCACAGGTATTTATTCAAGTATTATACATCAGGTACATTGCTTTACACAATGATGAGGATTAGTGAGTCTAGAAAGCTTATGACACATTAAGAAATACGAACAACTAAACAAGCAAAACCCAAAATGATTAGGATGTTGACTGTTAAAATTAGGTATGTGCAGGGAGCTGTAAAAATATATATATGAAACCTATGCAATTTACTCTGCAGCCTCTGCTTCCTCTTCTGTCCTCTTACAGACTGATGTTCCTCAGAATTCTGCCTGAGTCTTCTATCACACACATGCTGGCTACATCCATTCCATAACATCAGTTGTTCAAAGAAGTATTTCCTCCAAATGACATTTAACTGGTGACCTGAAAAATAAGGAAGCGTAAGTAGATGAGTAGGGAGAGGAAGAATGCTTGTTAAGCTGAGGCAGGCAATGTGATCAGATTAGAACTGACAGAAAACCTGACATGTTTGAATGGCTCAGCAAAGTTGAGTGTGGCTCCATCATATGGAAGCTCAGAAGTGGGGAGGAATGAAGGGAAGCCAAGACATGAAGGAGCTGGGAAGTGTGAGTAAGGGCCTTCTACAGTGGAACCTCCCTTGGAATAAAACAGTAATGCTGTCTGATTTGAGGTTTGCAGAGAAACAATATTGAGAATAGATCTGGTGGGCAAAACTAGAAGCAATTGCAGTCATCCAGGATGATAGACTGGGTATGAACATCGTGTAGACCAACTCCAGAAATAATTAGGTGTTAAAATTGACAAGACTTAAATGTTTGAATGTGGAAAATGAAAAGAACACAGTCATTCATTCATTGTTGTTTTTAGTTATGCATGATAGTATATTTTGACATATTTATGCAAACATGAAGTCCATCTTATTCTAATTAGCGTCCCAGTCTTGTGGTTGTATATGATGTGGAGATTCACTGTAGCGTATTTATATATGTACATAGGAAAGTTGTCACATTCACACAGTCATTCTTGATTCCAGTGACTCCAAGTTAAACTAGTATGAGCATGTTTCTGCAATTTGCTAAATTAATCATTTTAATTTTTAATATGGGAAAATTTCAAGGCCTTGATATGTCAAATAGAGATAGTTGGGCATTCAGATATATTAGTGTCAATCCTTGGAAATATGGAGTTGGGAGTTATCAAGTTGATGGCAACTGATGTTATGGAGTGGATGTAGCCAGCATGTGTATGATAGAGGACTCAGGCAGAATTCTGAGGAACATGAGTATGTGAGAGGACAGAAGAGGAAGGAGATCCTGCAGTAAAGACTGAGGAGGAACATCTGGGAAAGTAAGATAAAAGTTCTAGAGAGCATTGTGCCATAGATGCTAAGATTAGAGAATATTTCAAGAAGAAAGGATAGGTCCATAATGATCAACACTGCTGAGGGTTATAGTGAAACCTAGAAAGTTCTCATTATCTTTCGACACAGGAAAGCCAGTATTGACATGGTAAGAATATTTTTGTGAAACAGTGTAAAAGCAGAAGACAAATTTTAAAGAACATGGAGTGAAAGTAAGAAAGTGGAAAAAGCAAGTATAAACAACTTTCAGGAAGTTTGACTTAAAAGTGTGGGAGAAGTTGGGCAGAAACTGGAAACCATATGTGATTAAGGGAAATTTTTCTTGTTACTCTTGCATGTTTGGCTGTTAAAGAACAAGAGTGAAATTAGAAAGAAATAACCAAAGGGTTCTCTTTGTAAAAAATAAAATAAATATATATGTATATGTATATGTATGTATATATATATATATATATATATATATATATATATATATATATATACTGCAACCCCACTATAAACTAAGGTATTTGATTTTGATAGAAATGAATTCTGTAATTTAAGTAGGAAATGAATTCTAACTTAATTGGTAATTTAAGTGGTAGAAGATTTAGAAAGATATCATCTAATGGCTTCTCCTAAAAATCAAGATCCTCTGTAAGAGGCATAGAGAGTGAAGGATTGAGAAGTCAGTGAATGTTTTCCGTCTGAAATAGCCACTATTAAGAGTGAAAGATAAGTGTGAAATTCAGTGCTAGTGTCAAGGTTGAGCTGAGGGTGAATGCTTGAATTTACAGTAACATCATTATTATCTACACCTTTATTATCATCATCATGATATTTGTTAAAGAAACAAAATTTCTATAAAATATCTAAATGCAAAAATTATGAAGATTTTTTTTAATAAGAAGAATACCTATGATCAATTCAGAGATTGCCTGCTGTGGATGAAGAAATCACTTCTTGACAAATCCAGAAACTTTCCATCAAACACTTTTCAGAAAAAACACCCTTATTTGTTATCAGAGCACAGGCATTCTCTTTAATCTGGCCTGTGACTTGAAATCTGTAGAGGAAAAAGCAACTTTTTAGTGATTCCCAGATAACTGTTGTCAGTTACTATTAAAAGCACAACTATGTGAATTTTATATGCTTTTTATTTCCATTTTAAGTTATAAATTTCAGGTACTGCAATATTCAAGCAAGAAATATGCATTAAAAAATATTTCTGCTGGGTATGGTGGTGCACACCTATAATCCTTGTGGCTCAAGAGGCTAAGGCAGAAGGATAGTAAGTTCAAAGCCAGCTTCAGCAAAAATGAGGTGCTAAGGAACTCAGTGAGACCCTGTCTCTAAATAAAATACACAATAGGATTGGGGATGTAGCTCAGTGGTTGAGTGCCCCTGGGTTCAATTCCCAGCAACAGCCTCCCCACCCCTCAAAAATTCTTCTTTAATGAAGAAATTGCTTCAAATTATTTCTTAAACCAAAAATGCTCACTTATATGTGATCAATGGAAATAAGCAGGTGAATAAAACAATATTCCTTTACCAATCCTATGAAATAATATGAAAAATAAAGATCTGAGAGGACAATCTGACCATTTTAAGGTAAATATTTACTTTCTTACCCCAAAATTCCTGTTTTTAGTAGCTTTTTTAGTATCCACAATAATTAATTAATATCAGCTTCCATACTAAACAGTATCATATTCATCATTTTAAGTTTGGAAATATCTACACTCAAAAATATACATAGTTTTCAAAAAATATTAAGCCAACTTTCTGTATATCAAACTATTAATTTTTCATCTTCCGCCCTTAAATCTCAATGTCACACTTAATAAAAAATCTTCTCTTTATTTGATAAACCTCTTTGATTCTCTTTGATTCCTAGGTACCTCTATGCTTCAGATGGTGGCAACATTACTCAAGACAGGACTGGAGGTAGAAATGAGAATTATAATGAGGAGTAGGGAAGAAAAACTCCCTTTTAATTTTTTTGAACTCATATTGACAAGAGAATTTCTGTGCATGCAATGTATATATGGGTATATCCAAATTCTTTACCCTTATCACAAAAGATGGAAGTTTCTCTTTTTTTTCCATTTTTCCATGATGTTCCAACCAAATTTTTCTTAGGCAAATAAGTCATAAGGCAATTTCATAATCTAAAAGTAATCAGCAAATACCCAGTTCTAACAATCCGATTAGTAAATTAATTACTCTAAGCAAGTTTGTGTGTCAGTTGACAGAGGTGGTAGATTTCTGTTAGAAATCATCAAAGCTAAAAAAATTCTTAATTTATTGTCTGATATATGGAAGGATGGCATAAATATGCACTTTATAATACAGAATATAAATTTTAATGAGAGATGTAGATCATCTGTAGGTGAGAATCTTCATTTGGATGGTGGCCTTCTATTCCAGTTGGTAAGCCTGCTTACCAACTCTTGCATTATTAAATTATATGGAAATTTTAATATAAGAATAAATTAGTTTAGGAGTCTATTTCTCTAACACAGATTTTCTATTCTTCACACATTAAAAAAGATCAAAATCTTCCATCTGTAGCAACCAACTGGCCATTGGAATTCCAGAGAGTCACCAGTAGTTGCACACTGCAGAGCTGTTGCATTTCCCCAATGATATTTGCATGCCAAACACTTACAACTGTAGATTTAATGGTGTGCCATCCACCCAGGTCCATGTCTTCTGTGGGTGGGTAATGTTTAACCCAATCCAAAAGTGGTTTCCAACTTGTATATTACTCTGTATGAATTCCTRTGAAAGGAACCAGTGAAAATTAACTGAATTAAGCCTCTTAAGATAGCCTCTTCTCACTTTTTCTCCTGACTGAAAATGGCCTTAGTGCTTATCTTGGTAATCAGGAAAATTATAAGAGATGTCCATAATTTTATGGAAGAAACTCAATATAGGACAATTTTAAAACCACATGATCTTGTTGTGTGAGGTCACATGCAGCTTTCATAAAGTCATGACAATGTGAGCAGCTGATGAGGGGTGCAAAGAGATGTGAAGTCCCAACAAAAAATTAATAAACCTTCCTGATGAAGGCAGCTGTCACTAGTTGTTTTCAACTATCAATGAGCAGTCTCAAACAAATCTTTTTCCTATGCTGAAACTATACACTAACCAAACTAAAAAGCCYGTCTCACCTACTCCAGATACTAGCAATATTCCCAGAAATTGTTAATGCTTTGATGAGTATCTCCAATCATTCCTATCTTTCCTTCCAAGAACTAATATGGAAGGCTGACATTGTAAATGGGGCCTTAGTTTAAAACCTAGATTTGCCATTTACTTGTACAATGAAATTGTCTAATTGCACACCTGGAAAAGTTCTGATTTGAAAACAGGGAAAATTCTATTTATCTTACAAGTTTATCTTGAGCACTAACTTATATAAAAATTATAAAATGCATAGCACAATGCCTAGCACATAGTAGGAATGCAAGAAATGGAAATAACTAATACTTGTATAATTCCTTTGTCATAAAATGGATCTATTTTTTCCAGTTTTGAAGACAGATTATTTCTTACCAGCTCTGCCTTGTCTTGTATCACCAAGAGATGTGACTTTTTCAGAGAACATGAGTTTTGGCTATCGATCCATGATTTGAAATTCATGAAAAATTTATAACATTTCCCTTTTTTGTGTAGCCAATCATCAGGGCATAAGTTTGCTGAAATAGGAAGACAGGATGACAGAAATGAGAAAGAAGTTTCAATATAAAACAATTTTTGCATTATTTTAAAAAACTTCTTCATTAAAAGTAAGAATTTTGCCCCATTTTTATGAAATGAACACATGTTCCAATGAAGAATGTCTTTAGAAAAGACAAATGCTAAACATATTCATATTTATTATTTTAGTAACTACCACACAAAAAATAATTTTCTGAATTCTGAATGTATGTGAATATATGAAATTTTTGCCTAACAAACTTATGAGAGCCATAAAATTATCAATTTTAAACTCCTCTTTGTGTGTATAAGGATATTAAAGGTTAGTTAAAGTAGAAAGAGGGACAGTGAAGCAGAGATACAGTAACTGACTCAAAAGTTCAGAGAGATAATAAGTGTAAGGGCAGAGGGAAACTTAAAGCCATCGTCATATTAATACATTTACACAACTACACAAGAGATAAAAGGTACTATACTCTTAAGAACTAAAAGGGTAAATTTTCAGAAATCTGATCTCTGACTGGGTTCCTGTTCCTGTCGTGATTGTAAGAAACTGACTTTCAGGATGTAGATCAACCCAAGAATTAAACCACAAAACCAATGTCTTAGGAAACCATGAGCAGAAATTTTAGCGAACAAGATCTGTTGAGCCCACCAACAGATTTGAACAGAGGAGTGATTTTAAAAAAAGAGAATAAATTAAAATATTTTATTTTTTATAGCAGACAACCATTTTTAAAATTTTAACTAGAATCCTCAAGTAGATTTCTGAGTAATTAAAAATCAAAGGATATGAGAGTTACCTTTGAAATAAGAGAGCATAAAAGATATCAGGGGAAAAMAAACTGATGAGGAAAAAAAAAACAATTCCTTTAAAAATTCCTTTTTGATACAGAAAAATATATTCCATACATACATTATCAGAAATTTGTAAAATAAATGATTTACCATGACCTCAGTATCTATGTGTCTCAATGACCACCAAATGTATCTCTATGAAAAGGGAAAAGTTGAAATGGATATTAAAATAAACCTACATTCAGAAAGGGTACATACAGGTTTCAATTAATGCCATATGTTTTTACATATTAAGCTATATAATTATTGATTACATTTTATTTAAATTTTAATTACTTCATTATTTAAATATTATGTATTTTTAAATATCCATAAATTTGTGCATAAACTTTTCTGATATATCAAATGATATATAAACATATAAACATAAAAATAGAAAGTGTAAAATACATTATACAAAAGTCCTTAAGTACTGCATTGCTGGAGGAGGAGGAGAGCCTCCAAGTGACCTAGAGAAGCCTATGGGAGCATAAGCATGGGGGAAGACGGTAGTGCCTAAGGTAACCTGCTGAGGGAGTGTGGAGAAAGACTAAAGTGTTAACCCAGAAGCATCATCATAAACATGCACATTAGTTATATTTTTCATGTTGTATTCTTTCACTCACTTTAAAACACAAAATAACATATACAAATTATACTAAATCTACATAAGCCTTAGAAATTATCTTAGAATGATGCATTTAAAATGTATAAAATTTATGGCTTGGGGTAGACTTTCTACTTAGGAAATAGTTATTACATCTGAGAATTTTTTATGGTATAATAGGAACTTACAAGTAAGAAAAAAAAATAGGCATCCTAATTTTTAAAAGGGGCCAAGATGATAAACATTTTATTATTTTATTATTTCTTAACAAATGGGCATTTTGAAGAATAAAAAATAAATATCTAATACATATGATTTTGATATTACTACTTTGTAACAATATAATTAAAATATATGTATTTTTACATACTTTTATCATATAGAAAGAATCTTAGCTCATATGGTCAAGTTGGCTGAAATTAAACGGATTTTTTGTTAAGTTTTAAACTGAATTTTGATTTTGATAGGATAGCAGTGCAAAACTAGAKTTTTGTTTTCCTTTTATTAAAATGATAAAATTTTCTTGGAAATTTTGTTTATTCTTCATAAGAGATTATAAAATATGTTTCTTTATCCTGTAAGTAATCTGTTTAGGAAACAGATTCTGAACCTTATTCAAATAAATTCTACTACTTTATGTTGTGTTTATCGTGACTGATTACTGAAAACTAAGTTTTCACAACACTGAAAAGAGCTAAGTTTTTTAATATTCATGTTAACTTCTGTATTTGCTTTTTAACTTTTTTACCATGTGGGTTAAACATATGACTAAGTATTATTTTATCATGATATATATGATTCTGTTTACCTAAGTATTCAAATTTTTGGATATTTTTGACTCCTTTCCCAAATCAAATTAAAAACAAACAATTTTGCCCAGAGAGCACCTAGAAAATCTTAAAGGCATTACTTTTGAAAAATGTTAACCTAATTAGATTCATTTGAGATTCTAAATTGTGTGGGAAGCCTTGTTAAATATGAAGGGGGCTTTAATTATTCTTGTTATATTTCTATGGGGTTACATTTGTTAATATAAATATTTCAGAATTGTTATGAGGTTACTAAAATTTTAACAATGTCCCTACTATACATGAAATTTCTATGAGTAACATTATCTGTCAGAATTGCAGTTATTATCTTAAAATATGTATCATAGAAACAACCAGAGATCTTTATCAATTGCATTATTCTCATCAAATCTTAAACCATAGCCATTTTTAAGCCCTTTGTTATTCACAGTTACTGTTTTATGCTTTCCTAAAAACATAAAATTCATTACAGTTCAAAAGGCTTTGTCTTCTAAAAGACCCATGGAAAAAGTAAGAACTTCTGGTGTCATTGCATAAATAATTTGAAGTCCACAGCATTGGACTGGGTAAAGAATCAGAACTAATGAAGGAGCTAACTGGTAAAACTGCTATCCCAAGATAAAGTAGAACAAGAAAAAAGTTATAGGAGACCAAATGAACTAAAGAAAAATGATCATGATTTCTTTTATAAAATTCTCTCAAAATGTTACTGGTTCTTTAATATCCTAATTTCTGAATATATAAGCAATTTTTGTCTCTTTTTTCTCAGCTATGTGTAATTTATGTAACTGAGTATGTTATGACTTTATAAACAAAACAAAAATTTATCTCTTTTCCTCTCCTAATGTCTCCAAAATATGGAAATTCTAATTGAATATTTTTATCTTTACTGTAGTTCAGTTAGCTGTTTAATAATTATGCAACCGAACATAATTAGAACCATGAGATTTTACCAGGAACGTCATGTTTGAGAATAATGTGTATAAAATTAGATATAACTGCACAGTTTCAAAAACTAAGGTTCAGTTTGTGGAACCAATTTTAAAAAATGACCTGAAACATGGCTTATAGTATTCTCAGACTCATATTTGAATAAGGAAGCTTGCTTCTGGACAAGCCCAAGAATCAGAAGATGCATAAGGGCCTCTAAAAAGACAGGAATTCATTCATATCTATAGATACTACCAGTGAGGTCTGATGGAGAGTTTGTAATTTGGCTTCCTATCTTCAAGAGGTTTCTAGGAGTCCAACTTGATTTCCTTATTCCAACAAAGCAACCTTTAAAAGACTTATATCGGGGCTGAGGATGTGGCTCAAGCGGTAGCGCGCTCGCCTGTCATGCGTGCGGCCCGGGTTCGATCCTCAGCACCACATACCAACAGAAGATGTTGTGTCTGCCGAGAACTAAAAAATAAATATTAAAAATTCTCTCTCTCTCTCTCTCTCTCTCTCTCTCACTCCTCTCTCACTCTCTCAAAAAAAAAAAAAAAAGACTTATATGATCAATACGCTCCCTGTTACCCTTATGAAAATAATCAGGCCAAGTTAAATGATATTTATTTTTGTAAACAAAATAATTTGACTTTGATTATCTTTGATAGAAATGGAGATGACTGCAGAGAGAAGTGTTGTTTCAGTTGAGAATGAGTATCACTGAAAACTAAAACTTGACTGCCTAGATCCTTACCTGGACCATCTGAAGAAGTCCCACAAGCTAAATAAAGTTCATTGATCCTTTCTCTACACAGAAGAATTACAGTGACTATAACACTAGTGTGCATGACACGAAATCTACTAAATTTCCCCCATTGTACACATGCCACCATCTGAAGACACTTTAGAAAATTCCAGGATGGAAACGTGCCCTCTCAAATATTCCAGTTTTGCATAAAAATTATTTCAATATGAAGACATTTGAGGTTCAACAGACAGAAAGAATCCTGGAGTCTCCCCTTCTCTGACCAAAGGCAGAAACTTCTAAGAAATGAGGCGGCATACTTTCCTTCTTCATGGGTCAGGTTGTGGATGGGGTGGTGCATGTATGTGGTGGTGGGGGACGGGGGTCACTCCCAGGAAAAAGACTGGGAATAAATCTACCAACTACCAACATCCTCTCCCTGAGAAGTTAATGGCCCTAAAGAAGACAAGAAGACCATTTGCACAAGGATAAACATAAGATATTATTATAAACTTTCTTATCCCTCGTTTGTTCTTCTGAAAAACCTGTAGGTCTTTCTTAAAGAAATCTACTTTTATTCTCATAGAGGCTTCCTCCTGGTCTTTCCTTAGAAAGCTAGGTACCATGTTAGAGATTTGGCTAATTCTCTCTTTAGTTTCTATATCCGTTCTAATAAAATCTTGTCTTCTGTTAATCTTTTATCAGTTTGACTTACTTACTGACCACCCCTAAGAGGATGGAGGAAAAGACTTTCCTTCTCAACATTACAATGAAATAAAATCACATACCTGCGGAGTTTGCATTGTTCAGCTGTTTTCTAGGAGAAGTATTCATACAACTGCAATATTTGGTTCCATTTTCATTACTAAATATCTGCTCACTGTGGTTATCACTGAAGGAATGCATGTTTTGTTGACTTACTAATAAATAAAAACATTAACAGTAATTATATTTCTATAAATGGAAGCGTATGCCTTTTAATTATTTATTTCAATTAAACTGCAAGTGAATCCACAAATTGCTTGTCAAGAAATCTGTTTAGAGGCTGGGGTTGTGGCTCAGCGGTAGAGCACTTGCTTAGCACGTGCGAGGCCCTGGGTTTGATCCTCAGCACCACATAAAAACAAATAATCAAAATAAAGGTATTGTGTACAACTAAAAAGTAAATATTAAAAAAAAAGAAATCTGATCATTTAAATTTGCAAGAAAAATATGAATTTTGAGATTTGGGAAATTTCTTCCTACAAAAACTTAAGTAGAAACAAAAAGTATCATTATCCAAATAAAACTAAATGTAAGTTTTTATCTCTTTAGTCTGATAGGTTAGAATTATGCATGTGATCTTGAAATTCTGTGTGTGCTCTTCCCTGTAAAATGGAAAATGATTAGCACACTTGCACATTCTTTTAAGTTTCAGAAATGGTATATATAAAGTGTTTACATAACTCCTAACATGTAGCAGGTAACAGCAAATAGAAACAATTATGAATATAATTGTACATATCTCATATTTACATTTCATAGTTAAAGATCTTAAATTTAATTTGGGCTTATATTTTAAAGTAGCTGATAATTTTTGTTCAAAACTCCAAAGCATCAGGTCACCTGTAAAGTCCAAATTTTTACTGAAAGGACCAAATCAACTTCTACAAAATTTATAGAGCTATCACCAAAATATGTAACTTCAGTTCCTAGAACAGTGACAGTCACTAAAGATTTGCCAAGCAGGTAAATGTATGAACAAAGTAGTTTTTAATAAAATAATACATTTGCTGCTTCCTTTGTATAGGCAAAAACTAATTATAATGGAATCATAAGTGGTATCATTTAATGTCAGTATAATTAAAGTAATGAAAAAAAAGAGTATGAGGACTTCATTAAAAAATGTAAGAAGTTAGAGAATGTGGAAGTTAAACTCCAAAGGAAATGTTTTTACCTCTCTAGCTAAACATGTAACATTAAATTTACTCACCCCGAATGATTAGTCCTATTACTGTGGTCACCAATATAACAAGTACAATGCCCATCAGTCTCAGAGCGGTCTGATGCCACTTTGGACACTCTGGGTAATCTGTAATGAATAATTTTTCTTCTAAAATTTTTAGACATAAAAATGTGTCATATAAATGAAAAATTCTGAGTGTATACATTGTCTTTCCATGGTATAAAGGAACATACAAAGTCTGTTAGATTACCCTGAGATGAATTTGTATGTAATTATCTTTAAAAATTGGATTTATTGATTATAAAAAGTCAAAACACTTCATTCATTTAATACTTATTAAATATCCTTTTTATATTAACACTTTTGTTCCCAAACCATAATTCATACAGAGAATGGGTGAATATTAGTTGATCAAACAAAATATTCCAACTAAAATTTATCATTTATATTCATTTACATCTTGACTGAATTACTTGTATTATATTTAAGTAGTATCAAAATAACTGAGTGAAAGTTGAAATGATTGTCTAAAGGAGATACACAAGCAAAACTGAATGTTGTAGCCATTTTCATTTTCCCAAATATTATATAAATTAAAACACATTTGTATTAATTCATGAAATAAAACTTACATGCTCATCTTTATAATTATATATTTTGATTTAACAAATAAACATTATAAGAATTTCATAATCTTCAATCCAGGGTAAAAATGTATTCATTATATTCATTTTAATAATATTTATAAACATTATTATTGCCAGGAACTGGGCTGGGTGTGTGAATTGCAGAGATAGATAACACAGTGTACCAGTAAGACAGCTATTGCAAATATATTATTTCAAAATAAGGTAGCAACATTTCTTAACACTAGGCTGTAGTTCAAGTTCTTAAATGTTCTTATTGATAACAGAATTGAAATTCTCCCCAAGAATTATAGATGCATAATTGGTAGTACAATGGGAGTTATAAGCTCTTACCTTTATATGTCCACTTGTGATGGCAATGATAGGAATGTTTTCTTGGCTTTTGAAGTATAGATCTTTCTGTGTTTTGTCCAACCATTCCATAAATGGAAAAATCCATTTTTGAATGAGGTGGAAATAGAGACATTATTTGACAAAAACAATCAGTGCCTACAAAATGTCTTGTTGAAACAAAGCTTACCACTCTAAAACCACAAAGGATATGGTTTAAAAAGGGAAGGGACCTCTCTGTCGTACATGAAATGCTTTTTGTCATAGTTCTGTATTTGTAGCAAAATTATAAAAATAGTACAAAAAATTCTCATTAGGTTAATATGATACATATACCAAAATTACTGAATTAATATTGACACATTACTGTTAATTAAAGTCTATATTGAAAAATCCTCAGTTTTTACCTAATATCTTTTCTTTGAGGATCCCATATAGAATACCACAATACATTTAGCTCTCATATTCATATCCTTAGTTGTAATGTTTCTTACTCTTTATTTTTGATGACTTTGAAAGTTTTGAAAAAATAATGGTCAAATATTTTGTAGAATATTCCCAAATTTGAATAGTCTGCTATTCTTTTCATTATTATACATGGGTTATAGGTTTTTGGAAGAAGACTGCTGAGATAAATTGTCAGTCTCATCACCTTTTTGAGGGTATATATTATCAATATGGATTCTCACTGTTTCTATTAATCAACTGGCTGAGATAGGGTTTAAAAGTTTATTTAATGTAAAGTTATTCTCTCCCCTCCCCATTTCCAAACTGTACTCTTTGGAAGAAGCCCAATATATGCATTGCAAGGAAAGGATTGGGTTGTATGTAGACACTGTGAAGACATTTTCAGAATTCTCCTGGGAATATTTACCTACTTTTCTATTTATTTACTCCTTTATTTTAGTATATATCTACTTATATTTATTTTATAATTCTAATCAGTACTACTTTTTTTGAAGCCCACATTTTTCTGTCTTTGGCCATTGGGAGCTCTATCAGTTGACTTCATGAGTTCAGTTCACACAGCTGTCTGCATTTCCAATGCACATGAATACTTCTAGCCTCTTGCCTCACAATTCTATAACCTCCCACTCCAATAATAAAAAATCAACAGGACTATTACTGAAGCCAGATTTAAAGTTAGGTAGTCCGTGTAGTTAGGTAAATCGGGTCTAATATTGAGTGAAATCTAAAATGGAGGCCATGAGAATGAATTCCTGGAAAAGTCGAGCAACTCTTGAAGTGTTAATGAAGTTTAGGAAACAGCCCTCAACAGGTTTGAAGATAGGCCATCCCAAAGAAGTGTTAATGAACAGCCCCAGCAGAAGTTGCTAACTCAGAAGTCCTTCCTGCCCAGATTACTTCTTTGGCCCACCTGTGTTCCAACCCTTGGGCCTTTCCACCTAYATTCCATCACAGAAAACTATAAAAAGGGGAAACAACCTGCACTTCCATGGATTCCATCTCTTGGGTCCCCTTCTTCCTCCGGGAGAAGTCTTTTCTGCTGTCCTTTAATAAACTTCTATTTTCCACTCTAAACTTGCCTCGGTGTGCTTCTCTGGTGTTATACTTCAACATTGGGGAAGCAAGAACTCATCACTGGTCAACAGCGGTAACATTACCATCATACTTAATTTGCTTAATTTTTTGATTTCAACATGCATATTTAATGGCTTGGAAATTGTTTCCTTAAACCTCATAAGAAACTATTTTATCAACTAGATCATAGTGCTTAATATGCACAGTTCCTTTTGTCCTACAGTTTCTACTCATTTCTAAGTTACTTAGATCAGCAACATCCTCACCTTCAGTGAGGCTGCTTATGCATTTGTAATGAAGTTAAATTCTTTTGGCACTTTCTGAATATCATCCTAGAATTCTTAACCCCCAAATTGATTTTTAAATTTGCATGAATTAATGTTCACTCTTTCTGTCATAAAGTCTTATGAGTTTTCACAGATATTATACCATAATTATATTGTACATGCTCAAAAAACTTCCAAGTTCTTCATCTTTCAACTCTATAGCTCTCCTAAATGCTGGTAACTCCTGATATATTTGGCATCTCTAAACTATCCAGATAATGTATGGACTCATGCATTATAAAGCCTTTTCAGACTGGTTTCTTTCAATATGCCATACACATTTAAAATTTATAAATATGCTTTTATAGTTTGATAGTTCATGTTCTTTTATTGCTGAATTCATCATAGGAACATATGCAGGCAGCTTGCTTATTTATTCACTTATTGAAGGACATCTTAGCTATTTTTTAGTTTGGGGCAATTACAAGTAAAAGTACTATAAACACTCATATGTAGGCTTTTGTATGGATTTAAATTCTCAAACATGTTGGGTAAATGCCTAGAATTTTGGCTACATGGTCATATGATGGACTCTGTTTATCTTTGTAAGGAACTGCAAAGCTGTCTTTCAAAGTCATTTTGCTTCCCACTAACAATGACTGAGGCTTTGTCTCTCCCTCTTCTCATCATCAATGGGTGTTGACAGCATTTTGAATGTTAGCATTCTAAAAAGGTCCTAGTGGTATCTCTGAGTTGTTTTCATTCTCATTTTTCTAATGAAAAATGATGTGGAACATTTTTTTCATGTGCTAATTGTTCGTCTATCTTCTTTGATAAAATGTCTGTTCAGATCTTTTATTCAATTTCTATTTGGGTTTTTTGTTTTCTTATCATCAGAAGGTAGGTGTTTTCTACATATCTTAAGAACTTGTTTTTTGTTATCAGATGGTATGTATCTCACAACTATTATCTACTAGTTTGTAATTTATGTTTTTATTCTTTTAAATATATCTTTTGCACCCCAGAATTTTTAAATTTAAATAAAATCCATCTTATTTTCTTTTGTTCATGGATTGTACTTTTGGTGTTGTGTCTAAAAACTCCTCRCTAAATAAAGGTCATGTAGATTATTTTCTTGTTTTGTTCCAGAAGTTTTATAGATTTTTTTTTCATTTTATACTTGGTTCTATGATTGCTTGAATTAAAAATTGCTTCAGATATAAAATTTGCATCTGGGTTCTTTTGTGTTTGTTTTTTACAAGTGGATATACAGGTTTCCTGGTACCATTTGCCACATATATAAATATATAAATATATAAATATATATATTTATTTCATATATATATAGACATATATATGAAATAAATGACAGATGAATAGATAGAAAGTAACTCCTTTTCCTACAACGTCACCTTTTGCCCTTTCTCAAAAATGAGTTTACTGTTTCAATGAAGGTGTTCCTATTTTGTTCTGTTGAGTTGTGTATCAGTTTGTTCACTGATAACAGAAGAAGACTTGTCTCCAAAGAAGTGTCCAAGGAGTTCTGAGAGAGAGGAGGGAATTCTACTCAGGACCAGTAGGATTCTTTGTATATGTGACAGTAAAGAATTTCAACATTCACCAGTCAGAGGCATAGATTGAGGGTTACTTAGGAGAGAAGATAAAAATTCAGGGGAAAATTGGGGCAGTGTAAAGAGAGAGATGTCTTTGAGAGTGAAACAAGGAATGCTCATTCAGCTGAGAATGTGGGCCACTTTGAGACTGAGAGAAGTATTTTAGGTGTACCCAGCACTTCTTTTAAAGAACATTTGGTGAGGGTTGTGTATGGAAAAGTATGAAGGAATGTTATCAGTCCAGCAATCTCAAAGACAGTTTCTGGTGGTTTCAGTCAATCTCTGGAATGTTAGACTGACAGGTCTTTGTTATCTGATCCACAGACAGCACCAGAAATTCCCATAAATTATAGGTCTCTCATTATATCATCTCTTTTTTGTTGTTGTTGTTTCATCTAATTACTAGGAGGTTAATTAATAGTGGACAGGTACATTTAGAGAGTTCTGAGGAATTTCTGAGAAAGGAACGTCTCCTTTCTACCTTTTCTTATTTCTGTATTCTACCTCAATACAATGCTATTTTGAATACTTTAGCTTACAATAAGTCTTGAAATTACATAGTATGAATCCTCCAACTTTGTTCTTCTTCCTCAGCATTGTTGCACGTATTCTGACCATGGAAATAGGGAACTGTTCCCCCAGTGAGCAAACTCCCTGGGGTTTACTGGCAGCCTGATTCCCATGATTAAAATGCCCAGCAGTTTTCTCCTGAGGCTATTAAGATAACTACCTGGTTTCCTTATATCAACTAGGACCTTATCTTAGTTGGCAGGCACTCAAAGGAATACTGATTAGAGTGTAGTCAGGTGTGATGGGTAATATGTAACCTTTTATGAGTTAATAAAACTCAGCAGGAGGGAGGAGCAAACACTTCACTTTTATACTTCTTTACCACATCACTTCACTCACTCCCCCGCCCCTCCATCCTGTCTGTCTGCTCATATCCTGTGTCTGTGTCTGCTCTTTGTGCACCTCCTCACAGGTATTCCTCCACAGGTGTTCCTTTACACATTGTGTTGACTGCTCCAGCATTTTGCCTTTCTATACTTAAAATCAGTTGGCCATTGCCTACAAAATAGTTTCAAGTCATTTGAGAGTGCACACTACAGATAAGTCAGAAAGAACTGACACCTAAATCATCATGAGTCTTCCAACCCGTGAACATAGACTATCTGTTTTTAAGATATGTGATTTCTTTCATATTTTCAGTTTATAGTTTTCCAAATAGATATTTCATGTATGTTAGATTTATGTCTAAAAATGTTTATTGTTTTGGTGCTATTGTGAGTGGTACTTATAAATGTTAAATTTCAATTGTTCATTGATAGTACATAGGAAAATAACTGATGTTTTTGTATTAACATTGACTACTGAAAATTTGCTGCACTTACTACTTAGTTCCAGGAATAATTTATGTTTATACTTTTATGGAGAGGTCTACATAGCAATCATGCCATCTGATAAAGAAAATATTTTTTTTTAAATTTGTGTACCTTTTCTGTCCTTATATTCTTGCATGAGCTAATACTTACAATTCAGTGTGGAAGAGAGTAGTAAGAGTAGACATTTTTGTCTTATTCCTGATCCAAAAGGGAAAAGCATTCTTTTTTAACCATGAACTATGACATTAACAGTAGGTTTCTTTATAAGTTTTTTTTAAATCAAGTTGAGAAAATACTACTTTATTT